AATAAGTTGCTCTTGTCCGCTGTAGTCGCTGTTCTGCTCGGCTTGTCGACAACAGGTTGTATTTGCAGTTAAATGTTCTGCCTCCTAATTTGGTTATTTAGCCCATTAACATTTAATGAAAGTATGTTGAACTTGTCATATTCCCTTTCAAGAGATTACCTGGACCTCATTGTCGTCTTGAGTAGCGAGTACTAAAGTAGCGAGTACTAAAGTAGCGAGTACTAAACACTTCGCATAGTGTTTAAACACATGCTGGTCCCACCCTTTACTTACGAAGAATTGTCCTAATTCACAGTAATGGGAATTCACAGGATTTTCATTGACAAAGTAGATTCTGTTAAGAGTTATTCCCTCAGCCATTCACTGAATTCAGGTGCTGCTCACATACATCACCTTAGACACTATCTGACTCACAGATCACCCAACCAGAATGATGTAAGCCCCCACTGTCCCTCATGTCCGAAATTCATTGTTACAGCTCTCTTGCTCTGCCTCTCCACCATCTCTAATCTCACCAATTTCTGTCTACAGGTCTGCTGAGGACTGCAGAGGCCACCTTCCAAGCCCGGAGCTCAAATATCCCGTAGCAACAAACTGCCAAGGCCTCCGTCCTCCCCTCTCCATCCAACCAATAAATCCTCACTTCATTCAGATGTTGTGCTGCCTGGTCAAACTTATGATGCAAAGACGCTCCAGTCTGAGTTTAGATAATTTAGGTTTAGAAGATGTAGATATGAAAATTAGGTTTACTGCAGAATCAGAGCATTTTGATTAATGTTTGCTCATTTCCATAGCCAGTCAACGGCGAAAGAATTATGCCACATTCATGTCATATTAGATTTATTGCAAATGTGAACTATGAACTGGAAAAGCAGTTCATGTCAACAGAGAGAAAGCAGAGGAATACTTGCTGCTACATATGTGAAATGAAATGAGTTGATAAAAAAATAGTTTTGGCTTTACTGCAGGCAGTTAGATGTGTGTGATTGTTTTCATGATGCAGGAACAAAATGTTGCTTCATCTCAATTCATGAGAATGCAACGTTCCAAATGTGAATCAACCAGACATGCTAAAACCTGACTTGACTCCAAGGCTGCTTCTCTGACCTGCTTGCAAATATATAAATAAATGGCTGCGGCTATAGAGGTAGAGTGGGGCGGTTCAATCCCCATCTCATCCCGTCCATGTGTTTGGCCAGCACCCTGCGTTGTAGCTCTCTGCTATATGCTATGACTGCGTGGGTGAATGAGTGGCAAAAACTTTGTAAGGCGCTTTTTAGATAAAAGCACTATATAAATATAGGCACTTACCATTTAAGTGGTCTATTTAAAAATGGTTTATTACAGCTTGGATTTTCAGAACATTCGCACACACATCAAGGTCTGTTTACAGGTGTTGAGGAGTACTACTGCGTGTGAAAAACGTTGTATAAAGCCTTTTGTGGCTCCAGGGAGTGGGCCGCAAAGTCGAATAAGTGATGCCACTTGAGTTAGCGATTTGAAAATGAAAAGAAATCTGGGTGTGTGGCGCTAGAAATAAGTGAGCTTACCAGACCTCTGTAGCCAGCTTCTCATTTCTGCTGGAGGCTAGCAGCTGGGAGTTATGTTAGCAGCTACTAGCATAACATGCTTAATCTCTGTTGTTGAGTTGCACTGTGGAGAATGTAGGCGCCAGGTTTTAACAAAAAAATAATTTGTGGAATAAAAGTAGATGGTTCTGCAGCATTGATTTGGATCCTTTTTTTAGGATCTATATTTAGTGCATTACCTTCTGACCATAAGCATTTAAATATGTCACAGCATTTATTTGCTCCTTACGAAGTTATAGGAAGGTGCTCACAAAGAGCACTCAACTGCAGCGAGGGCACCTCCATCCTCACTGCAAACAGTGCAACACAAAACGCTTTTGGCTTTTTCCTCCGTCTGGCTTATCCTCGTCTGCATTCACCATCTCACAGCTCATTTCAAAGGTGCTTTATTGGCATGAAATACACAAGATGTCATTGCCAGAGCAAAAGAGGATTCAATTCACAACGATGAGTGAAATGAGGCTGAACAGAATGAAAGGGGTGAAAAGATATCCTACAGGATGAATAGACGCTTTTCAGGAGGGATCTTTTAGTTGTTTTCTGTCTGATTACCTGATTCCCTCACCTAATACAATTTTCATGTTTTCTGTAGAAGCCTATGAATCATAAATGTTATTGTTTGTCATTGTGTGAAGTTTAACAATGATTATTAAATATAATATCTATTTTATGCTAAAGCTTTATTGATCTTGGGGTTAATAGTGATTTAGGATAAAAGATTTTCTTTCTAGTTGACCACAGAGAGTCTGTGTAGGTAACCTTAGTGGGAAACAGAACAGCAATCAGATTTTCCAGTTCAAACAAGGCTTAGAGGCGTCACAGCCATGCTAGTGGCGGCAATTTCAGCTAATGCTAAGATGAGCATGCTAGCACACAGTACTACAGAACAGTATACAGAACATAAGTACAACACATACAGTACAGCTGAGGCTGATGGGAATGTCATGGTTTTAGCAGGTGATAAGGATCACCAAAGTCAGCCGGATTCATTGTCTGGGAATGTCAACAATCTTTTGTGCCAATCCATTTTGAGTTAATTTGCTTGATAAGTGGAACTTTGGCCTGCTGGTGGTATGCTCAACAAATGGAAAAAGCCTTGTTGGGCTTTGTAGACATGCAGTATACAACATGCCATTTTACAAGCCTCATTTCACAGGGATTTATTTTGGGTTTTTTAGGGACCAGTCCTTCAGTGCCAAAGTTTTCCCTTTGTTACTTTCGAGTTGTGTCTTTTGCTGAGACCACATTTTCTGCGACATCATATTTTGTCCTCTGTCTACAGTCGACAAGTGAAGGGTTTATATTTTATTTCCAAGAGCAAGTGACAAATATTTCACTTACATTCAGTGCACTGTGGGGTTTTTGGTTCATTAAATCCTAAGCTCTGTCTCTGTATCTGTATTTAATATCATTTTCCTCCAAACCCTCTAAATCCACTTACATAAATAGACTACGTTTGAGGAGCAAATAGGAGTCGCAGCTTATGACTGACAAGATGTTTATCCATCCCTGACATACGTTTGTTCCAAAAAACAGCTATTTTGTATACAGAAAATTATACATTGCCTCTCTGAGGGAGTGATGCTTCTGTTGAAGTGTCTGTCTTAAGATTTAATACATCACTTAGATGAGTCAACATCACTTTACAGCAGCTGAACTCTGTCGGATTTCATTAAAACAGTGAAAACCTGCTTACGTCAACTGACAAAATCTCTTAAGACAAAGAGGAGCCATGGCTGATGACAGACAGCCATCTTATTACTGGTATTTGTAGAGTGTGATCAATGTCTAGATGTAGATCATTAATACATCAGCTTACAGGGAACGACAGGCTGGAAGCTCCACTGATGGGAAGTGTTTTTCTTCCAAACAGACTGGAAATGTTTCATTTGATCAAATCAAACGAATAGCTAGGCCTATCCAAAACAACAGTTTTCCTCAAACCTTTTATGTTTTTTGCACTTCACACACACAAGGAAACTGATATTTAAAGGATCAGTTCTCCCAAACTGAAAAACTTTAGCAGTATCAAGCCTAGGAGCTTTGGATTTATTTGCGATGACGATGGTTCATAAGTGTCTGAACTCTTATTTTACTGCTCAATATAGAGTGAAGTGACAGAGTGTCTATTATTAAGGGAACAGTGAATGAGTCCCAAGGAATTTTGGTTTAATTGACCTGTTAGCTTTTTTACCCCAGTGCTAATAAATCAAATATTGCACTGTTGGTTTTTGTAGGGCTATGACTCAGTATACAGCACATTGTACTATAGGCCTATTTCATGGAGTAGGAGAATCAATCATCACTTGAAAGCAGTGCTTGATTGGATGGCATATTTCACTCTATGGCGTGCCGTGACTGCTCACAAGCTGCAATTTCTCTTTTCTGCCCTCTCAATATCTCTGGGAGATTCATATGGCCCCAAATAAACTGCATTACCCAGTTGACATTATGTGACGCTCACCTGTTACTGTTCTGGCCTGCCTGCTGCGGAGACTGAGTAATAAGAAGATCAGATGCCTTTTGCGCAAGTGTGTGCATGCTGTTGCTCGTCACCTTTCCAAACGTTGAACTCGTTCTGCATGAATGGCTATGAGCAAGGGCGTTAGTTTGTGTTGAAAAGTGGTGGGGACATAAGGGCAGAGATAAGGGGCATGATGATAGAGTCACAAGACAAGAAGATTCATAACGCTATTTTGAAGAAATATGAAATGCTGAATACATGAGAGGGGGGGTCTGGGGGTCCTCCCCTGAAAGTTTTGATCATTAAACACTTAATTTTCTGCAGTCTGGAGACATTTTCTGCACCAATTTAGGATGGAAATGTGTTTATTCATGTAATGGAAACAAAAAATTCAGCTGGCAGGTGACAATTCATAAATATAAAAATAAAACAGAATATAATGCATCAATCAGCAGCTTGTTTTTTTAGCTTACTTTTTTTAGACAATGCACATGTGTTTCTTCTATATTTAAATTTCATTGCATGTTTTCTGGCTTTATTTGTTAGTCAACATTGCTTGGTGCAAGCTATTTGTTCAGAAGAGTTTTAACAAATGCTTTCAAAATGTGGTGGGGACATGTCCCCAGCGTCCCCAGTGTAATGACACCTAGCTATGTGTAATATATTCACGAGTTAGTAGCCTGCTTAGCATTAACAAATGAGAGACTACAAACATGAATTTGCTGTTTCATCCAGCTGAAACTCAAAGCCAACATGTGAATGAGGAGGACTAGCACATATTTTTTTCCCACTTCAGGCACCAGTAATAATAATCTGCAGGTCCCTTTTAAATAGAAGAAGGCTAGTGGTTTTGGTGCCCCCCCCCATTCCGTCCGCTCGAGGCGGTCGCTGGAGAAGTGGGCGTGGCGTCGTAGCTGGGTAGTGACGTCAGCGGGAGCTGTTCAAAGTGCTGTGGTGCTGAAGAGACAACTCTCCTCGCCTCCCCTCTCCTCTCAGACAGACAGCCAGTCGCTCGCTCGGTCGCTCGGTTGGTCTGCAGCCATCAGCTGGTCGGTGGACGCTGGATTTCACCGCCGCACAGCTCACAGTTAATTAGCGCTCATTGCAGGAGGACACAGAAGAAAAATTTAACTCAGCACTATTTATACATCCACCGAAGCCCATGTGGGAGATTTCCAACAAGTAAGTCTCCTCTTTTCTGTCTATTTCTCTGTCTAATGTGTCGGAAAGCAGCAGGGTTGGATACTTCACTCTCTAAGAAACGCTAATAAATCATAAGTGATATTTTCCAGTGGGATCTTGGTTGTGAAATGATACAGATATATATATATACCCCTGCTGTCTGTAATTATCAGCCCGTGTGTGTCCACTGAGGCAAGTCTTCCAGCCGCGCCTAAATCTTACCCTGTGCCTGCCTGGGGTAAAACATTTGACTCATATTTGCATGATCCAATGGTCAGAGATGCTCGCTCTCTCGCTCTCTCTCTCTCTCTCTCTCTCTCTCTCTCTCGCTCGCTCATGCACACACGCGCATACATACACACTTTCTTTGCATGAATACCTAAAATCAGAAAAGCAGAGCTCAATACAACTGAATAAAAAATACCAACATAACCTCTCTCTCCCTCTCTCTCTCCCGCTCTCTCTTTCCCTCCTTATTTCTATATCTCTCTATGTGTGTGTGTGTGTGTGTGTGTGTGTGTGTGTCCTCCCTCAACACAAGCTGGTTACAAAGGAACACCACCATCTACACTCTAATTGTAACCTCAAATTAATTTGATTATGTGGTGTCTAGTCATTCAGTTGTGATTGGATCCAGTTTACTGACCCAGGGCCAACATGTAGTGGTTTTATGGTTTTACTGTTTTCCAGCAGGAGACATACTGGGACTGGCCAGTTAGTGGTCAGGCTGCTACTGTGTTTCTTGGTAGCTGAGACAGCATCACAGCTTGTGGAGGAAAATACAGGAGCCGGTGAATCTGTTGAGAGGCTTGCTTTTTTTGATTCCAGAGTACACTTAGGTGTGGCCTGGTTGGCCTCTACTCTCCTCTCCTTGCTCTTTTCCTTGCTTGTTTCCTACTCTTCTCTTTCCTCATCCCCTTTCCTTCCTTCTCTCTTTTCCAGTTCTTGTTCCTGGCTCTCCCCACCTCTCTTCTTTTTTGTGAACCTTCCTCTCCTTTGGTTTCTAGTTTCCTGCCTCTCTCCTCTTTTCTATTTTCTTCTCTCCTCTCCTATTTTCTCTCCTCTCATTTTCTTGTCTCAAAACCAAATGTTCTTATTTTCTTGTCCATCAAATGTCACGGTAAGAACACCTTACTTTTGCGTCCTGAAATTTGAAATCCCCCATCAACTCAAGTTTATCACTATACAAAGCCTACAACCTTCTAAAATGGCACAGTTTCAACATGGTGTGGTGGTAACAACCCTGTTTCTTGTTCATAACACATCATGGTTATGTTCCTGAGGCAGGAGGAATCCGGTGTTTGTGCAGCTCAGTGTTATGTACGTATGTTAGTCTTTTTCAACTTTCCACTCGGCTTCCACAAGATGCACACAGACCATCTGGGTGCTGGCAGGGTGCAGCTCGAGCTCTCTGTGCTTCCTGAAGTGTACACATCTTGACATTTTAGCACACAGGCAGATATATGAAAGGTGACTTTGCTGACATTATGACAGGGCTACATGATATACATTTAGCGTGTTCAGTAAAGATCTAAATATAGGTTGATGGAGAGCAGCGCCACACTGTTTTTAAAAAAATATATATTGTGATTTTCATTCCTCTCGCTGTGGGCCTATAGCCCAACTCTTCTCACATTTACCATGTGCCTTTAGTTAATAGATATTTGCCTTTGATTCTGTGAGTTATTTACTGTCATATGGGTCTTGGCTTGAGTCCAGCTTGCCAGTGGAGCAGAAGGCCTTGCAATATGCCCACATCTTTAAACATAATCTTGAGACTAACCTTTTCAGTCTGGCTTGCATGATGTCTCTTTTTTTGCCAGTTTGAGTGGTTAAATCATCACCTTCTGTTGGACATTTTTTAAATTAAAAATGCGATGTCAACCTTTGATGAGTGCCTGTTACATAATGTTTGAGTATGTTTTTTGAATTGGGAGTTTTAGATCTGCAATTTCTCAAATCACAGGCCTAATGTCTTTATTAAACTCAGTGGACGCAGAGAGCTTTGATGCTCAAAATCCCTGAACGACCCTGAAGGCAGATAAACATTTTAATTCAAGCTTAGAGCAGGTTAATTATTCCGAGCCTGCGTGACGAGCGCTGATTATTGATTGATGGCTTCAGTGATTTTGCTGCTTCCATTTGTGCTGCATTTTCCAAATAACACAAGACTGCAGTTAAATGTCACTTTTCTTACCAACTGATGACTGTTTCATGCCCCCGTCCCACCCACATCCAAGGGCCTCTCTGTAGTTGGACAAATAGTCAGCAAGGGTGAAAAGGTCAACCCCCCAACCGTCCTCTCTATCCACATGCTCCAAACGGGCCCCTGGGTGTCCAGCGGACTGGGTTTCTGTTCATGACAGAGTAGGCAGGTGGTTGAGTGGAGCTGGATATGGCAGCCAGGTGTGGGGGGGGGGGGGGGGGGGGTTGAGTGGGACTCACCAACGAGTCCTGGAGTCCAGTGACACCTGATAGTGCAGGATCTGGTTTCTCTACCTCTTTGTAGATGCAGACTTGTTAATACTTAACTATGTACAGTACTGGATAAGATGGAGTAACTGTGGTTAATACCATGATCAATGCTCAATTTTTATACAAAGTTGGTTTACTTGTATTTGATTAGCCCCAGAGAGCACTGACACCATTTGTGGTGGGATGACAAATTTTGTTTTTCTTGTTGTATCCATTCCTAAAAGGGACATTCTCCTGGGGAGGTCAGAGGTCAGAGACCACTTGTGTTGTTTAAAGGACACTTCAGCAAAATGGATGTTAATCATCGACAGGGCGTGTACTTGGGCCATTTATTTGATAGATGATTTAATGCCAATATCAACAGCCCCACTACCTTTTAAGTGATAACTCTTGGGAAACATTTTTATTCCAAATTTGACTGTAGCCTCTAGATTTGAGGTTCACAGATCGTTTTATGTCATAGACCACCACATTGTTGCAGCAGCTCAAAGCATTGTGAGGCTATACCTAGGCACAGAGGTGCTTGTAGCTGAATCCTAACATCAACATGCTCTTAATGACAATGCAAAGTGCTGATGATTAGCAGGTACACTGTTTGTTTGTACCATGTACCACGTGTAAACCAAAGTATTGGAGAAATTAAAATTTTGATGTGATGAATGGCACTGGATGAAAACTGATCCTGAGGGGACATTTAATGGCACTCTATCCAATAGTTGGCATGACATTTCACTAAAAACCACAAATGTGAACCTCATGCTGCATTAGAGTAAAAGTCAGAGGATCACCAAAGTCAGTAGCAATCATCATCCAGGCACCATGAATGTCTTTACAAAATGTCATGGCAGCCAGTCCAATAGTTTTTATTTCAGCCAGGACTAAAGTGGTGGAACGACATACCAAACAGCATTGCCATCCTCCGTTATGTAGATGGTCCTGATTTAGCATGACACTGTGTACAACACGTGCATGTACATACACAACATTCATCTGTTTCCTTGGAACTCTTCTGAACCCCCTCAAGGACTCCCACAGGTCCTCAATAACTCTTTGGTGTCCTCTTACCCCACATTTTCGAAACTCTGCTAGATTAGCAGATAGTATATGCATGTCAAGCCATGTGATAAGCTAACCCCTTACCACTTCTCTGCTTCTTTATCATGCCCATCTTCAACAAGGATACAAAGACAAGAATTGTCTTTATATGTGTGTTGAGACTTCACACTTTACTGCATCTCTATTATTTCCTCTCTTCTCCTCCACTAGGTGCTCTTATATGGGCTTGAATAGAGTGAATTGTCACAACCACTGGCAGCATAGGAGGGCTGGGTTTCCCGCTTAGATCCATGGTAAGACAAGACACCTGATCCAAAGTAACCACACAAAGGTAGCTCAAACTGCAGGAAACCCATTTTTTTTCCTGAAATCTGTTTCTGTCCTCATGCTGTTGCCTTGCTGCAGCAGCGAATGGTCTACAGCAGAGATGAGAGAGTTGTTGTGGACAGCTGAGTGGAGCCCTGCTGTCTTTTGAATCAGCAATTGCGAACCTTGAAGGATGTGTGATCCCTGTGGGTTTATGCTGTTAATTTCAAACTGTGAAGATACAAACAGGGTGTGAAATGTGGCTGCAATGGCTGACTCTCTATTGAGACTTTACTGGCACCAGGACACGTACTTTCTCAGCTGTAGTGTATAGTACTGTAAAATACTACTGTGTTAAAGATAATTTGATGTAAAGGTGTTAGCCTGTCAATAGGACTAATTTGACACTTTATTTCAGTTCCTTCATTCAACCTCACGGTTAGCGATTGCCAGTGGCAGGTATTGTAACATTTTTCACGTTGATCTAATGTTGATCTGAGAGTCTGTAAATTACCTTAAAACAACATGTACAGCTGCATCAATCTCATCTTTGGTTGTTGCCATGTTTCATGGATTTGGCTGTGTACTGAACAAAATTATAAAAGAAAACTTTTGTTTTTTCCCCCATTCATCATGAGCTGAACTCAAAGATCTAGGACGTTCCCTATGTACACAAAAGGCCTATTTCTCTCAAATTATCTGTGTTAGTGAGCACTTCTTCTTTGCCAAGATAATCCATCCACCTCACAGGTGTGGCATATCAAGATGCTGATCAGACAGCATGGGTATTGTAGAGGTGTGCCTTAGGCCGGCCACAATAAAAGGCCACTCGAAAATGTGCAGTTTCACTGTATTGGGGGTGGTCTGGAGTCAGTCTCTGGTGTGCCAAACATTTGCCTCACACAGTGCAACACTTCTCCTTCGCATATAGTTGATCAGATTGTTCAGGTTGAGACCCCGATGAGGACATCGAGCATGCAGATGAGCTTCCCTGACATGGTTCCTGACAGTTTGTGCAGAAATTCTTTGGTTATGCAAAACAATTGTTGTAGCAGCTGTCCGGGTGGCTGGTCTCAGACAATCTTGGAGGTAAAGATGCAGGATGTGGAAGTCCTGGGCTGGTGTGGTTACACGTGGTCTGCGGTTATGAGGCCGGTTAGATG